GGGGGGGGGGGGTGCTGAAAGACTTTTTTGTGCGCCCTTGGACTCCATAATATTTTCCCCATCAGATTTTATCCATATTTTGTCTTGATTACTTAACAGTAGTACTGTTTTCGACCGTGGATCGGATGTATATGCTTGGAATACCCTGACTTGAGAAATATTGTCTTGTTTTCCAACGCGAACGGATTTTCGGGGGGATTGATCAAGCGTCGCCGACGGGTCTAAAGCATATATTCTCCCCGTGTAGGCTGATGAGCTTGTCCAGACGCCATCTTCTGCGATACACAGCAAAATGGCCCACGAGAACCGCATGCATAGCCCGATATACTTGTCCTTGACGGGTACACAATGTATGCCTCTTTTTGTCCAGCTCTCAGGGGGGCGGGGACACAATCAGTAACAACGACTTGACAAGTTTCGCCCCTTATTATACATCTCTACCGAACGTGGATCTGTACTTCATCGGTTCAGCTCTCATATCCGTATAAAAACGGCTCGATAATATTTTTGCCTTGCTTGACGGACAAGTCAGCGATATTCGCCTGACAGCGACAATGGTAGCTGCGTGAGACACCTCCTGCGACGCGACCAAGCGTACTTAATGCGACGCAACCGTGGGCAAACCTGCGCCATGCGTTTGTTGCGGCTGCTGACGTACAGAGCGACGAACAAGACCAAGCGTACTTGATGCGACGCAACCGTGCGCAAATCTGCACCATGCGTTTGTTGCTGCTGCTGACGTACATGGCGACGAATAAGTAGTGTGTCTACCGCTGTTGAGTATATCTCAACAATCTGCACACCACGGCGAGCGTTTTTGTACAATACTTGAAAACCAGGGAAAACAAACACGATCGAGGGGAAATGGCCACGAAAATCAAAGCTGACAAAGTCTAAAAAATTCCAGAAGAGAGGCAGAAGTATGCACACCCCGCGCTTTCGTCATGTGGCTTTGTTGTCACACGCACGCGGTTTTTTCTGCACCATCGTATTTGCAGGGGGCAGGAACCATACACTCTCTGTGCGGCACACCCGTTTCCAACTACGGCACCAACTACACCATGAAATCGCTGATTGTCAGCGGGGTCGCCTCGTCCGTCACCCCGGCCGTGTTCTTCACCTCGGCGGCTCGCCTTGTGATCTCCGTACTCCGTCCGGGACCTCCTACTGCTCCTCCTCCTCCTCCTCCTCGTCCTCCTCCTCCTCCTCCTCCTCGTCCTCGTCCTCTTCGTCCTCGTCCTCCTCCTCGTCCTCTTCGTCCTCCTCCTCGTCCTCCCCCTCGTCCTCCTCGCCCTCGTCCTCGTCCTCCTCCTCTTCCTCGTCCTCCTCGTCCTCCTCGTCCTCCTCGTCCTCCACCACCTCCTCCTCCTCGTCGTCCTCCTCCTCCTCCTCCNTCCGGGACCTCCTACTGCTCCTCCTCCTCCTCCTCCTCGTCCTCCTCCTGCTCCAATTCCTGCTCCTTCCGCGGGACGTGTCTCCCTCCCTTCAGCCCTCTCCTCGAAGGCGCACTGCAGAGCGCTGAGGTCGTCTTCGATGCTGCGCAGCCAAGCATCGGAGTCGGCCCTGCTGGCCGTCGACTCAGCGCGAATCTTCCCCCGGAAACCAGCAGCCTCCACGCGATTCAGAGCCATTCTCTTCCCGATCTCGACCACCAAGTTCTGGAGGTCGTCGTGGCGGCGGGCGAGCTCGTCCAGCTTGCGGGAAGTCTCTTCGAGGACGGCGACCCTGCTGCCCAGGTTAGCGAGCCTGGTCTTCAGGGCCGAAACGGATCAAGAAACGAAGCCGACGGTCTCGACCAGGCCCTTCTGCTTCACCGCCATCCTGCCGACGCTCTGCTTGACCGAGGCCAGCCTCCGCGCCTGCAGGACCATCCTCGCCACTGCGTCCGCGACCTTCCCCCGGATCGCCGATAGGTCGAACTCCATAAGCCCGAGGCGGACCTCGCCGGCGTTCAGCCGCCCTCCAAGCCTTGCAAGGACCCAGACATTGGTCATCATCGTCAAGGTGGCCACGTGAGACCCGAGTTTGGTCAGGAACCACGCGAACATCTGCCAGAGCCGCTGGGTTTCGCCGCCGCCGCCACCGCCGCCCGTCACCGGCCGGGAGTGAGCTAGCTCGCGGCTGTCGGTGGCGTGTACGAGTGTGCTTCCCTCCTCGACAAAGTCGCCCATAGACTTCCGCAGCGTTCTCGCCTCGTAGATGTGCACCATCACCAACACCAAAAGCATCATCACCAACGGGAGCACCACACGGATCAGCTGCGTGCTGCTACTTGATTTCGCGCGCGCGCGCGTGGGGATCGAATTGGTTCGGGGTGCTTGAGTGCACCAATAAGACACCGAACGTGCGACAACAGCTAGGAGCAGGAGCAGGAGCAGAAACAATCGCGAAGACGACGCAACCGCAACGACAGCAAGAACACTCTTGCAGCCGTTCAAGGTCAAGGAAACGATAATGCCGTCGTGAACGGTGGCAGCACGCACGAAAGAAAAAGACGGCATGACAGCAACGATTCCCAACGTCAAAACTTTGCACCGGGGACCGTGCGTCGTGCGTGGTAGAGTTGTGGAAATCGGAACGGTTGTGGGTGGTCTTCGACGTGAATCTCTCACCGGCCGCCATCTAGCTGCGAAGTGGAAGCAGAGGGTGCATCAACGGACAGGATTCGAAGCGGGACCGCCGAAATCGCCAAGCTCTCAACGAAGGCATGCAGAGCGGCAGAAGCATCACCAGAAGCAGCGGCGGCGGCGGTGGCGGCGGCGGCGGTGGCGGCGGTGGCGGTGGCTTCCGCAACCATGGCCCTTGGGTCGCCGGCAATCCCGGTCGCCGCGTCGATGGCGACAACACTCGCGGTATTGCTTGCCACAGGCTCGAAATCCTGAGGGACGGCATCGGACTCCACCTTGGTGACCATTGAGGTGTTCCAGGGTTTGGATGCAGCTTCGTTTGTCGCCGGCTGGTCGGCCGGGGGCGGGGGGGGTGAAGGGATGTCCACGGCGTTGTCGGGCCGGGGGTCGTCGATGACCACTGCACCAGTCCATAACAAAGACCAGCACATCGAAAGATGTAAGCGTGCGCCTCCTTTGTCTGCGCTATATATCCTAGCTCCAGCAATTTGCGATCTCTTTGGTCTGCAATCGTGTGACTTCTTTTTCCTCTGGATGTTGAACACGTTGTTGCAGGTCCGTTGCATATTCTATGTTTCTACCACAAGCGCGGGGATCACTACTCGCCCTTACCGTGATCAGTCTCCAACAAGGGTGAGTCCGGGTCTTCCGACTAGGCCAGGTCGGTGAAGGTGGCGTCAGTGCCAGACACAGCTGGTGGCGGTGGAGGAAGGTTTTCAGATTTGCCGGGAGCAAGATGGGACGGAGTTCGAGGAAGGGGGGGGGGGGGGTACACTCATAGTCGTGCATGCCGTAGTCGTTAGACCATTGACCGGACCAGGCTACTGCATCACATCACCAAGGGAGGGGGGCGGGGCCATTGCCAGGCAGTGAGGTTGGGGCTACCTCCATCGTCTCTACCGCAGCCGTGATCAAGAGCAAATGACCCACTTGTGTGGAAAGTCTGGTATCTTTTTTTGTTTTGTTCTGTGGGCGTTTTTGACATGTTTGCGGCCCGAACCTCTTTGGCTTGCATCTGGGCAGTCCCTGCTCGTCCCCAACGACCTTATTCGGCAACAACGCAAAGGCAGCAGCCTCGATTTCACCATCTTTGCAGGATTGCACAGCGCGCAAGGTCCCATGCAGACCGTTGGCTCGGTGACACATGGTGGACCCGATCGTACAGCCGAAACCGTAGTCGTCCGCACACGTGCGGGCTAGCGGGAAGGCGGAGCAGTCGGTCCGGGATCCAACGTTCAGAAGAGGCGAGACGAAACATTCCTGACTATGCTTCATCGACCGAGAACTCTGTGGAGCTCAATGGCGAGGATACTGGCGATGGATCTCCCTCCCTCGTAACATGTGTTTGAGGATGTGGTCGTTTGTTAAGCACTCTTTTCTCCAGTTGACCCGACGTTTTCTTAGCATTGGCACCGTCGTTGCACCGTGTAAGGGTCTTCCTTGCTTGTAGAAGACAAGGGAAGGGATACAGGTCGGAATGTCGTTGATACAGAAGACCCGGTGATGGGGTACAAGGCGGAACGTCGTTAAATGTGAAGACACCAGCAACGTGTTCCAACGGCGATAACGATGCTCCTGGGAGGCACAACTAGTCGTCCCGCAGCTTAGCCAGATGACGACACGCTCGTTGATTTTAATGCCTGTCAGTGCTGTTGAGAGTTGTTGTTCGTGTACCGATATGAGGGAGGGAAACTCTGAGCTCTTCTGGCACTCCGGCACACATGAAGGCAGAAGCCGCAAAGCAAGCCTTGTGTTTTTCATCAGATTGGAGCTCATGAGGGAATAGAGCAAGGCCGCGGAAGACGTTCAGTCTGCGATGGTCTGCTAGCATCGGAAGGAGGTGAATATCTACCTAACAGAAGGGTAGTGTCAGAACGTAGTAAGTCGAAGAGCAGCTGTTGCTCACGGCCATAGATTTTCCTAATGAAACCTGAAGCTAGCGTTTGGTACCTAGAAAGCAAATGAATCGAAAGCTCGTGTGATGAAGAGTATCGGCTATTCTTAGTCTCAACGAATTTTGGTGGTTCGACCGTCGACCCATCCTTGGGCCTTCGTCTGCACGACACGAACGATTACAAGAAGTGTCCCTAGTCTGGAAATCAGTTTCTTTTCCTCTTGAACCTGAACCTGCTCTGGAGGTTTGTCGTTTTTTGTGTCTGTATCAATCTCAAGCGCGCGGCAAATTCCTCACACTCATCGCGATCAGCTGCCAGCAGGGTTAGGTCCGGGTTGTCCGAGTAGGACAAGCCGATCGAAACAGTGCTCGTAGGAGTGGAGTCGGTGGTCGGTGTAGGGAAGGCTTCTGGTAAGCGCGGGAACGACGAGATGACCATGGGGGGTGAAGCGGGGGGATTGGCGAGGGTCATTGCCAGGAGGTGACGTCGATGCGAATAGCGGGACCATGTCATTGTCGTGGCTATGCATGAGGACGCACATCTCGAAGGATCCGACAAAAACAACAACAAGAACAACAACAACAACAACAACAACAACAGACGACAACGACAAACTCGCCTTTAGTATCAGTGGCGGGAGAGTCAGAGGTGGTGGTCGCAGGAATCGCTGGAGTATCTTGGGTCGCAGAAGGCGCCTGAAGTCGGGTTGCTGGCGCAGGCACCGTAGCCCCGCTCTCTTCCTCGACAGCGAGCTCCGTTGCGTCTGTGTGCCTAGTGATGGAAAGGGACTGCTCGATCTCGAGAAAAGCGGCGATTTCTGGCACACAATCGTCATTCAGAGCGCCACCGCAGCCGCTGCCGCCGTCGACGTCGCCACCACAACTATGGTCCTGAAATAATTTTTTGTAGGATCAACAGCGTCGGGAAAGAGGAAGTTAAATCAATGTTCAGATTCGCGTTTGCCTGGTATGACGCGACAACCAAGGTTCTCGATTTGTAAACCGCCTGGCCTGTTGGCGAAGAGGAGGTAGGTTGAGCGTCTGCCTTGCGATGTGTGTTAGTTGAGTGCACCGCGAACCGAGCAGTTCTCGCTAGAAACACCTCACCTCCGTAAAATCGAGTCGGGTTATGCCATTAGTAGTATGAAAGGTATAGCCGGCTTCTGCGGCGCAGGGAATGAAGTGCAAGGAATCTCAACTCTCACAGACAAGGACCAATATGCGCCGTCAACCGTACCTCAGCCAACGGCTGGATCGGGGCGTTCTGAACGGTTTCGACTACCAGCCATGCTTCATCATAGGCCTTTTCGGCCCGGCCGTCGTCGATTTGAGAACCCACCGCCTCCGCGGCCACCGTTTGTTGGTACCCGGTGTAGACGACAGCTTCGTCGACCACAGCAGAGGATGAAGCGTCGACCGGAGAATCCTCTTCGGCGGGAGTGTCCTCGTGGAGAGGCGGCGGGATCGCCGCCTCAAAAGACGCCGTACCCGACTGGTAGGCCGCCGGCGCGGAAGACGGTTCCGCGTCCAGCACGAGAGACGAAGAAGCGCCGTCGAACGTTGCCGCCGGTTCCGTGACCAGCACGAGAGACGAAGAAGCGCCGTTGAACGTTGCCGCCCACACGTCGAGCGGTTGGGCCGACGAGTCTTGGGCATTGTCCGAGGCTGTTGTGCCCAGAAAGGCCGCCGGGTCGGCGGCGACATTGGCAGTGACGCTCAGAGCAGCGAAGACACCCGTCAGCCACTGCCAAACAAATAACCGGGGAGGGGGTTCGTGCACAGCGGAGAACGGAAGCCGAAGTGAAGCGAAACCACACCATGCGGTAATAGCAGTGGCCATGAAGGGGAGGGAGCAACGATGGGCTGCGTTCCATCTCCAAGCTTATGCGCTTGAACTTCTACAATCGGGATAAAGCTACAGTAGTTATCCTGAACCTCACCAGTCCGGCTCAGACCTCCTTCCACCAGGACCTCATTCACCAGGACCTCTTGCCACCTTGGTCCATCTGGCGCTGCGTGAGGGCAAACGTTTGATGGGATGTGCAAACCAACGTATACGGTTGTTAAGCCAGGGTGGGTGGGCAACATCACGCGTTGGAAGGTACAGTAAACGACCCGAAGAAACTGCTGGGGTACATGACTGTACCAAGACACCTGCACCGAGGTTAAATTATTCAGCACAACGTACACGTGATTGTGGTTTGTCCTGCAAAATATTTTTCTCCCTAGACCAGTCACCTTCGGGTCAAGGAGAGTTCGCGACTCTACACCGATCATGCAAGTTCGAGGTTCTCGACCCTCTCCAACCACGGTACCTTCGTGTGATGATATCCAAGCAAGGACCCCTTTGACCTGAATACGTGTTCGTCCCGTCAAACGGTGCGTTCGCTTCGCAAATGCTCTAAGGGGCCATCCATCATACTAGCGTGGCATTTAAAGGCCACGTTGCTTCGCAATGTCGACCACACAGCCCTCGATGGCCACCGAAGCACCAAAGGGCGGAGGCCTTGGCCTACGCCAAGGAACGGTGGCAACCAGCCCAAGCAGCCTGCAAAGGGCAGAAGGCTGCGCCGCCTCAGTCGACGGCCCAAAGCTAAGCGGGTGTCGTCGAACGTGCTTTCCCTCCAAGCTATTTCAGGAACCCTTGTTCAGGACAGCTTGGCCTAGTAGACGAAGGAATTCCCCAGTTTTCTGTCGTTGGCTCACTCTGACATTTCTGCCCACTTTTGTTGGAGCATCTGCGCCAGCACAACGGAAATATGGGCATCACCTGTTTGAAGGACCGCACGATGTACTTTTTCCCGCACATCAGCACATGAACATTGGCGTCTCTGTCTGTTTGCCTCTCTCCCTCTCTCTCTCTCTCTCTCTCTCTCTCTCTCTCTCTCTCTCTCTCTCT